CCTCCGAGTCGCACGATGCTTGCCACCACAGATTGCTTGTATCCGATCGAGAGCCGCGGACGCTTGACTCGACTGTGCTCTTCGAGTCGTTGCACACACTCGTCGCATCGCTGCACCCACGCGAAATATTCGCCCAAGGTGGCAACTCGGCTGGATTGCTCCAATAGATCACGTTCGATTTGCTCCATGTCTCCAACAATTTTATCATATCATATCACACTCTTCTTCGTTACACTTGCACGTGATTTGTTTGCATTTTTTTCGCTTGTTACCTACTGCGGTCTTGAACGTTTTCAGACTGATTTTATACTACATTTTGTCTTTCTCTAAATGGTATTATTTTCAAATCCTATCGACGCTGAGTTGGATCATCTTTCTGATGCATGCAGCTGTCGGACATTTAGTCAGCGCTCGCTTGAGTCATCTTTCAGAATCGCATAGCTGCTGATTTTGATTAGCCAGCGCTAATGTTATCCCGAATATCTTTGAGATATATGATACAAATAGATTCGTATTTTTACACGTGTTCCGTGATATCACATCGCAACCGTTCTAAGATTACATTTTTCTGACGCGTGCTCGAGATATGTTATCCCCAATGCCAATGCCTTTGAGAAATATAATATAAATGGACATTAAAATTTTTGTTACCACAGCTGTACATTGACATTATTAAAAATGAAAGAGTTGCATTTTTTTGTGTTTTATGACTTCACCGCTGAAAAAAGAGTGGTGGGGAGGATCTGTATTTAAATCAGATCCGGCATAGAAATAATATCTCAGTCGCTCTACATCAGTTATAAGCACAGGCACGATGAATTATTACGCTGCAAATGAAGCATGTAAGAAACAGTGCAATGAGTAAGTATTAATTAATAAATCTTTTATATATTTTATACTTCATTATATTTTTCATATTTTTATACTTCATTACATTTTTCAATTTAATTTGTTAATTGTATTTTTTCTAGTTTTGATAAACCTCGTCATACACCTCGTATCCTGGGGCGCAGATTTGCGTTGACTGCTACAGGTTATAAATATTTGGATGTTGGAATCAGCGTGGGACCGGTGTCTCATGTGCAAATCATTCTTGCTGATAACCGAGGAAATCAATTAATATTGCCTCATGCAACGTGGGCAGCGTTCATCGAAAGACGTGAAGCTGTGGAACGATTTTTACCGTCGAACATCGCCTCATCACTGTCGATTCGCGAGTTGGTGATTGAGCGTGTTAAGATGTATGATGAAAACATGGTAAAATTAACATTACACAGAAACTGCTTGTACATGAAACCTCAAACTTTATTATTTCTATTCGAAATCGAAACTTGTGTAGACCTTGTATATTTCGAATTATGCCAGAATACGCATAGCGTAGGTGAA